TAATAACGAAAACGCGTTCCATATTCTGAGTTTAGTCTTAGTTCTGTTCAGTTATTGTAGTTATAAGAGAATAATATGGTTTTCAAACTGTTCAAATAGGGGTTTGCAAGAATGGCGGACGTAGCTCCTGTTGCTTCTGAAGAAGGAAAGAGTCGCAATGATGTGTTGAACATCCCTGAACTTCGAGTAGCTGACAACAACTAAAAGCACACATGTTCGTTTCCTGATCACCAAAGAAATGCATGCCAGGGATAGATTCTTCTGTATTGGCAGATCTGATTTTCTTCGGAGAAAGCTCAACAAAATTAGATTCCAAGGCGATAATATCAATGTTATTGGAATTGGTGCCCTTGAAATAAACCATTTTGGAAGGATATGAGGACGGGTTATGAAGAGACACATTCATTCGAACAGAGTAAAAGAACAATGGATGCAGCGATGATGATTGGAAGTCCGAGAACTAAGAATGGAAGTCCGAGAACGAAGAATGGAAGTATGAGCGACGAGGATTGGAAGCCCGAGTGTGTCCGAGCGGACGTAAGGAGGGTTGGAGGACGGAAGGAGGGTGGATGAGTTTCGAATTATCACGTATTTTTTAAACCATATATCTTTGTGTAAAGATAAAATAACTAAATCAAATTGCAAAAACTTAGATAATAATCAAATGGGAAAATGTCATTTTAACCCAAAAACATGTCATTTTTGTTTTAAAAGGTCACTCAATTATTATTTTTGTACATTAAGGGAATGAAGTTCGGATATACCATTTTAAAAGGTCCTTTTTTAACTTGATACCAGTGAAGCCGGTAAAATGTGGTGATATATACAAAATTATTCTTTCAAGCATTTTGTTGAGCACCTTCTATGCATTGTTTATCTCCTGTATGTACCTTGCCCAATCTATTGAAACAATAACGAGATATCAACTTCAATGATTCGTTGAAGAAGTTATAATGAAAACACACAATGAATCTGTTTTGTGTAAAATGGCGAGGTAAAATGATGAACATTTTCTAATTTTTCAAAGGATTCGGCTTTGAGAGGCAACCAACCATGAATGGCTTCACCGGTGACTGCACTAAGCCACGCCGATGGTGAAATTCGTTCTCCCTAATTCACCCAACTCGCTCACACTCCCCCTTGACCACTGACCACTCCTGGTATTCCCTTTGTTCTTCCTCCTCTTCTCGATCTCTAATTGCACCACCACATCATCGCCATGCCCATCTAAACTCCGACCAGAACCACCCACCGCATTGTCCCGAAACCCCACAGAATGATCGTTGTAGTCGTAGGTGGTCAAAACTCAAATCTAAAATCGTTGATTTGAAGGTTGCATTTGAATTGTTGGTTCAAAGGTTGCTTAGGGCATGTTTGCTTCTGAAGCACCGGAGGTTAGTTCAAAGGTAAAGAAGAAAACGATGAAAAATATGAACATGTTATGATGAAGAAGAGGCGACACGAAGAAGAAGAAGAAACTGGATCTTCTGAAAGTGTTTCGAGTTCATCCACCACAACCAACATTGGTGTTGTGTTGGGAATATTCTGTGTATAATCATTAAATGCAAATGTGATGTGGATTTTATTTTTATTTTTTAAGTGAAATTAAGCTAGAAACCGGTAATTACAAGTTAAGGTACCTTTTTAGATGGTAAATTCAGGCTTTATTCCCTTTAAAAAAACGAATGACCTTTTAAAACAAATATGGCAAGTTCGTTGGGTTAAAATGATATTTTCCCTAATCAAATCTTTCGTAGAAATTTGTTTGTGAATATAGTTACTTGTCCTTTGACCCTATAAGTATAAATCGATAGTGAATTTTAGTGAATTTTAGCTTTAGAGGGTGTTTGGATAAAGAAAAAAGAGGGTGTTTATAGCTTATTGTTTATCATTACCGCTATAAGTTAAGTTTAAGTGTTTGGATAGGAAACACTAAAAATCAGCTTATTATGTGGGGATAAGCTAAATAAGCTAATTTTAATAAGCATCCCCCCTTGCTTATAGCTTATTGTTTATTTCTAATCCAAACACTTTTATAAAAACTGTTTTCTCTCACCGCTATAAACTATAAGCTAATAAGATATAAGCTAATAAACTATAAGCGAATTTATCAAACACCCTCTTAGTATTCCAATCTAAATTCAAAATTCAAAATCCAAAATCCAATTTAGAATTAACGTTTTCCCTAAAATCCTTGGCTAAATTTGTCCAAAGAATCCTAGGTGTTACTACCTTTGCTCCAACTATGTGAACTCCCATTCAAACACAAAAGCATGACCACCAAACAATGTTGTGATGTACAACAGTACAAACCTCTTTTCAAAACGCTTTGCAATCAATGCATGCCAATTGCACTTGTTTACGTACCAAGAGGTAGTCTATTTGTGTGCAATGTCCCCCACTTTGGAAGGTAATAAAGTGCACATCCCTCTTTTTAAAAGCAAGAATTTGAGACACCAATCGTGTGCTGTTGCAAACTCTAACATTGTACGTTTCTCATCATTCCTACGACCAAAGCCGAAACCTCCATGTACACCTTCATATCCATTGCTCTCCCTTCCTTATCGGTCCTACTACCAAAGCCTAAACCCCAATGTACACCTTCAAATTATCATGACATAACTTACATATATTACGTTACATTACAAATTATCACGATCGAAATTTAGGGAAAAAAATGTCAAATAAGTAATTTCCAAGTTAGTTAATTTTAACGTTGAAAATGACCTAAATCAGTATCATAATTAATTTTATTTTTATGCACCGCAGGTAAAGACCATTAAAAATTATAAGATGTCATCTGAAATAGCCGAAATTTATAAAATGACTATCCTAATCTGAATAAAAAATCAGATATCCAAATTTTATATTGAAATTTTCAGATAATTCTAGATCAAATTTTCAAATTTTAGATCAAATATTAAGATTTAGATATTTTTGAACGTCCCTATTAATAATATGTTTTTATTATTATCAAGGTTGTAAAAATCGCTCGACGGTAGGTCGACGGTCAACTGGTGTTAAGGGATTAATCGGTCTTGACGGGGATTAATCGAAGACCATAGATTATTAATAAAATATTAAAATTAATTAAATATTAATAGATCTTAAGAAAAACAAGTACTTCAAAATTAGAAAATAAGAAAAATTGTAATTTGGAAATTTGGAAATACGAAAATATGAACATTTTGGTATAATATTCGAAATTTTTGAAAATTTGAAAATTTTGGAGTAAAAAAAAAGTTGGTTTTTTGAAATGTTTTTTTAATTTTTTTTAAAAAATTTTTAAAAATTTTTTTAAATTTTTTTAAATTTTTTTAAATTTTTTTGACATTTTTGACTTTTTTTTTACTTTTTTCGACTTTTTTGACTTTTGTTGACCGATTAATCCCGCCAAGCCCGATTAATCCTAAATTTCCGATTAATGCTTTAATCCTCGACGGTTGGAGAACGCCAAGCGATTAATCCACGATTAATCGCCGATTAATCCCGATTTCTGCAATATTATTATACAATACATGCCTTTTCACCATGTAATATATAGTCTTCCACTATTTCGTGGTTGTCATGTATCCTTCCATCATATTGGATAATTGACCGTATCATTTATGGTAATCATTTATTCTTTGACCATGAAATAAGTGTTATTTATTCTTTTTATACTAATAAAAGAATAGTTTTATTTTTTTCAGTGTTGCAGAAATCGGCTTTGGCGGCCGATTAATCGGCGATTAATCGTTTGGCGGCCTCGAACCGATTACGATTAAGGTGCTTGGCGATTGGTCAAATCGGTCAAACTCGGGCTTGGCGGTCCTCGGCGGTCATAGGCGGGAAATACTTAAAAAATTCAAAAAAAAAATAATTTTCTAATATTATACCAAAAATTTTAAAATTTTAAAATTTTAAGGTTTCAAATTTTAAAATATTATACTAAAATTTTAAAATTTAAAATTTCCAAATACTTAATTTTTTAGGAAATATTGATTTTTTTAAATAATTTTATTAATAATTTAGGGTCCCCGATTAATCGTCGATTAATCCCCGCCGAGTCTGATTAATCGCTTATCGTCAGTCGACCGCCGAGCTACCGCCGAAGGATTTTTACAACCATGATTTTTCTTTTATTATGTGTCACTCTAATACATATCCTAATTAATATTATGTGTCACTTTATTGTTCCTCAATTTTAAATTTACACCCAATAAACCAGCAATAAATGTGGCTCAAGAAATCAGAATATAATCACATAAAATCAGCATCCCGTTTTCAAAATGCTATAAATAAACAACTATTGAAAACTTAATCAAGTTAGATACTTTAAATGAATAGATGTACAATTATTATGTAAAACCATATTTGTTTGTATGATTAATTATTGTTAGTCTTATAATCTCTATGTTGTTTTACTAATATCAATCAACCGTGTATGTTGTTTTACTAATATCATTTAACCGTGTACTACACGGACACGGGTTATCACCTAAGTTTATAATATTTTTATAGACCTTGAGTTATTTGTTAATGTTTTTACTTTGCTCAGCATAGTAATACTCGTTGTAGAGTGGTAGTTCCGATACAAAGTCAGTAAAGGCATCTTGCTATTTGTTTTGGTTGGTGATCATTTTGTGTTTAAGATCTCTTTTCAACGGTTAACTAACGAAGTTGACACTCCATGACAAATTAACAGCAAGATTTCGAGTTAACATATAAACGCTTTTTACAAACGGATTTTATTCTTTTGTTAAACCTTTCATTGCTTCCTCTTCGATCCAAGAAAGCTTAATTAATAATAATAATAATAATAAGCCAAATTTGTCATATTCTTCAAGATGGTAATTTGTTGTGTTTTGGTGATTTTGATTGGTCTTGAAAACCAACAGTAAAGTGGTGAAAATCAGAATATAAGTCAAAGTGCACTTACACCTTTTGACCACAATTACAGAAGAATTCGATATTGGAAAATTCTGAACAAAGAAAAAGTAAAAAGCCATGGATTCATTTCAGTCTGTTATGTTAAAACATAACTTGGCTTCATCCCATGGACCATTAATCTCAAATTTATACTCTTGAATCCTAATCAACCAATAAGGACACACCAAATTCACAAAACTCAACACTCCCAACAAGAACACAAACATCAGTTTATGCAAACAATAAACACAACTCAAAGTCATCACCATCAACACCAATGAGAAGAACAAGTGCAACCTTACTGAATATTTCTTAAGACAATAAGTCACCAATGGTGCAAAAAGAAAAACCTGCAATGAAAACAAAATGACAGCAAACACAAGAACCCTCGAAGGAAGTCTAGAAGCAATCAAAAGTGAAGCCACAATGGAAGCATTAAGTGAAATATTACTGGTTAAAGTCGGTTTAATTTCTAAAGCTCCAGGAGCTTTAATGGTGGATCCGGAATAGTTATGGAGGAAGAGATGGAGGATTATGAGTGATGTGGTCAACGCCCATATGGAATCTGAACTTATTGACCTGGTCAACGTGTGGTATATTGGGGATAAGACATATAGACTGGTTGTGAAAAAGGAGATTTTGATTAAATAGTTGATAAGAAGAGTGAATGAAAGCATTTTGGCTGTTAAGAGGAGGATAAAGAAGCCAGATGCAAGAAGGGTGACATCAAGAATTAATAAAAAGTTGTGAGTGATGGTGGAATTGAGAGTGTGGGTCCAGACCAAAACAACAAGTGCTACAATGCAAAGGTATTGAGAAATTGAAACGGAATCTAGCATCACCTTAAGCATGTCTCTTTTGACTACATTTGCATTCATCACCATTTCTTGAAGGAAAGTGTTGTCTGTGTGATTGTCATCAAAACCAGGCTGCATACCTCCATAAGCAACTTTTCTCCATCTTCTTTGTGTTGGGGAGGGGATTTGACCGATGCTATTCTCCATTGCCCCAAACTAGAAAAGAAATCAACATTAGATTTCATATTAAACAGCAACAATACCCAAATCAATACATGATATTGCATATTTTAAAATGAAACAAACAGCCTATTGAGCTAAGGTACAAAGCATATACATACATTAACAATCACCAACTCTGATTCACAAAAAGAAATATACAGATCAACAACACACAAAAGGTCCCCAAAACCATTGACCATCACACATTTGTTTTTGATTCGATAGTGGTAGAAATAAAAAAGTTCTCATCGATCCTCGGTAGGTTTGGATGTATATAATTTGAAATAAGATTAGTCAATTTTGTTTTCAAACGACATTACAGAGGGGTTGAGGCTTGGGTTATTCAAATCCCAATTTATCAATGATACATTACAGATTGTTAGGTCAAAATAGATGCTAAACGTGAAATTGAAATCAAAATTTATAATTGCAGTTCATCAATTGAGATGCGAAACTTGGAAACTGAGATAAGTAAAAATCCGATAATTCAAATTACACGAACCAAAATAGAGTAACAACACGCACCAAAAGAACATGTTCAAAAATTTCGATATGTAAAATTACAGGTAATATGCTAACCTCGCAATTTCGATTTTGATGAGTACTACGAAATCGAATGGAAAATAGTACTGGGAAATCGGATATTCAATGCTGAGTTGCAAACATATTTTGTTGTAATTTCGATGTTGTTGTGGCTGGTTATCAATTTGTGAGGACGATGAAGATGACCTAATCAAATCTCTTAATCGAAACCCTTATACATCTGGTGAAGGAGTAGCACCATCCATCAGGAGGACCACCACAACATCCCATTTTTTTTACACTTCTTGAACAAATATGAGAGATAGCCTGGGATACCACCCACGGTACTAGGTAGTTCCGCCCCTGGACTGCCGGTTGGACTAGGTCTCTTATAATATTTTCATCTTCTTTTTACTTAATAGACTACAAATAAAATCATTATTTTATTTAGTATGATGTAAAAAAGATATAGATATATTAAATATTCTAAAATTTATAAAATATATCAGTAAAATGTAAAATATATATAACATTAGACGAGCTGGTATACTGACAATTTTTCGATCTAACCCATAACCGACACGAAATAAACAGGTTTGGGTTGAGATTTCGTACCCATCAACCTGTTTATTTCATGGGTTAGGTTGGGTTTGGATTATATGTTTGGATTTGTGGGTCAACCCACCAATATATATTATATATATTTAAAAATATATCTATTTATTTATAAATTATGATGTGCGAGTGCGTCGTGCCCTACTCAATCAAAAATTCAATCTTTGACTCTCTATTATTTAAAAAGACAACATACTACTCCTCGCACTTATCTTACTACCTTACCGCCACTCATCAATCAGGACCACCTCCTGTCGGCGTCGCACACAACCAAACCACTGGTACACTTGCGCTCCACCGACCACCGTCGGTGAAACCTACTTGTGAACCTGCGAACCTATATAATTAAACGGGTTATGTGAGTTGGGTTGGGGTGATGTATTCTAACTCGCCAATCTGTACTCGGCCCAATTACCATCCTTAAACTGTACACCCACTACTAGATTTGCACAATCGTCGGTTTTAGCTAAATCTAGCTTGTGAAAAAAAATGACATTCTAGTCCTACAAATTTATCATTCATGTTTTAAAAGGTCCCTTATCTATTTTTTAGTACTCTAGATTTACAAAGTCAGTTTTTACCTGTTAAAATAGTCCTTTAACTCATTATGATAGGTAATTAGGTCATTTAGGATTTTTCATGTGGAACCATAATAGGGACTACCAGTAAATGTTGATACTCTTACGCCTAATTCCCGAGTTTAAGCAAAGAAGAGAAAAGAAAAGAAAGTAAGGAGAGAAAAGAAGAGAAAATATTTTTTTTTTGTTTCCGAGTTGGAAAGAAGTGGAAGAAAAATTAATCATTTTGTTCTTTCTTTCCAAATCGGAAGGAAAATTAGGAGGGAAGGTGATCCTTCCATTTCATTTCTTTAATAAAACTCGGGAACAACAATTTTTTTACTTTCTTCTCATTTCCACCAATTTCCGTTCTTTTATCTCGTTAAGTTGAGCTCAGGAACGGGGTGTTATCGATCATAAAAAAGAAAGGAACCCTAATTGGGAGCTACCAGTAAATGTTGATACCCTTATCGATCATTAAAAAAAACAATTGTACATATTTTATTCGAACACGAAATCGACAATGCATGCATTCATCAAGCAACTACTCATATATGCAGGGTCCATGAGACAAATTACAGACTCATTGGGATGGAAAACCAAGTGGATCTGAAGCAAATGAAGACCAGATGATGGTTGAATTTCTCGTTGTAAGTGAGGAACTCGATTTTGTGAAGAAAGAAGGTTAAAATTGGTCTGTGGACTGTGATTCTTGGTGTGTTCTCAGGCTTTTGGATGTAGGATGGTGTTTTGGTGGTGAAATCAAAATTTTACAAATGAAAGATGTTCTTGATTAATTTCAGTTTTAGTGCGCAATGGATATTATGTATGTGTTCTAGGGTTTAATCTGTCTGTTTGTTTTTTTTATGGGGGGGGGGGGGGGGGGGGTTAATGATAACCCAATGATGATGAGGCCCACAATGTATGTAATGTTAAGCCCCGTTTGATATACATCTTTCCAGGTCCAAACAGATCTTTCTGGCTGAATGGATCGGAAAGACTGTTTGATATACACAAAAAATAGGTCTTTCCCGGTAAGATATGTCTTTCCCAGAAAGCTTCAAAACCATATATTTCTGGTTGAATAGGCTGGAAAGACAATTTTACCTTAAACCTCGTCTCTTTCTTTCTTGGATTATTAATTTCTTTTAAATAATATTTTTTTTAATTTCTTTTTTATTGGATTGATATATATTAATAAATATTATTTTTAATATATAATATTTATGTATTAATTAATATTATTTTATTGGATTATTAATTTCTTTTAAATAGTTCTTTTTCTATTTTCTTTTTATGGATTAATTCTTTTTATTGGATTATTATTATATATTAATAAATATTATTTATAAATATATAATACATATATATTAATAAATATTACTTTACTGGATTATTAATTTCTTTTAGTTAATTTTTTTAATTCATTTTTATTGGATTAATTCTTTTTTTTTTTTTGGACAACACACCATCATCCTAATATATTTTAAAAAAAATTCATCCATCCCACAACTACCATACATAAACCGGATCAAGAATCATATGTTGAGTTATAAAAAAATTGCTAGAAAGAATAACAATGTAACATCATCTTGAAAAAAAAAACTAAAAACAACTTAATCGGCATTAATTTTATTTAGATTTTTTAAATGATTATTGTGTAATTTTGATTTTGTATGACAATTTGTATGTTTTTATAATTATTCAACACCTTCATCCATCACAGTATAGAACAAAATGGTTATTTTGTTATTTTTTATCATTCAACACAGTCAATCAGATATACAATCAAACAACATGGTTTCTTTCCCATTCAGAAAACTTTCTCATACATCACTTTCCCAAACAGCACTTTCCCGAACAAAAACTATCAAACGGGAATGTTTATGTATTAAAGAAATTAACTATATTTTCTATTAGTTATTTTGGTTTATTTTGGTTAAACTTTATTTTGGTTGAACTTCATGGTGTATTTGTGTTTGTATGACTAATATTAAACGTTAAAACATTTTTGAATCGGTTAGTATTGCTTTTGTGTGATTGGTAATGTGCTTTGTATACTAGGGTAGTGTAGTTAATATGTGAAGTGTCAAGGGTGTTAACTTATCAAAACTGTATATTATGGTCAAGTGTCGTTTGCATAAGATATGTCAAGTAGTTTGCATAAGATATGCCAAGTATCATAGTTTTGAAAGTGTGTCTAGTGTTATAGTTGTGAAAATTTCCACCTACCACATTCATATACTATATTAATTTCCAAGGTCTTTATCTACGGTATACTTAATGTTCTTTACATATTGCCATAGTTTTTTAATGTTCCTCATTTTTAAGTCCCTTTCCTCCCGTTTACCATTTTCACATTGCTTTTCTCCCTCTTTTGTCTACCTACTTCTATTTCCGTTTACGGTTTCTTCTCTCGTCGTTTTCTGATCGTTATCCTTTGTGAGGTCAGCTAGTCGTTTATCTGTCTTATTGTTCGGTTGATGAGAGGGCGTTTATTTGTCTTATTTTTCGGTTGATGAGAGGGATTGATTTGGGTTCTGGTTTCGCATCAGGATTCCTGCTCTCCTTCAATGTCTGTTCTTCTTCTCCTTAGGTTTTTGCGATTTCTTATAAGAGGTGGGTATCGTGTTCTTTATTTTATTTTTTATGTTCCTTTGTGTTTCTGAATTTTTAGTATGACTGTGGCAATTGTCCTTGTATTCGCGAGTTCTATGGTGTTGTTTTTTGGTATAATAAGAGGGTTCTGTATATGTCATGAGCTGATAATCCGCGGTACACCAAGTGTTGTAAGTCTGGCTCTATTGTTCTTCTTTTTCCACTTGTTCCACCTGTTGTGTTATCGCAAATTTTCGAGGATGGTCACTTTCTACATAGTATAAGGGCATATAACTCCATGCTTTCTATGACATCTTTTGGTGCAAAAGTTTGATGACGAAATTACCAGAGGTAGTGGTCCATATATGTAACGTCCGGTTCCCTGGTACGCATTTAAGTAATTCTTTAATTATTTTGAAAGAAGGACTCGACGAGTTGGTAGCCCTAACTCGTCGAGTAGAAGGCAGAATATGCGCGGGTTTTAAATGAACTACTCGACGAGTCGGAGTCTTGACTCGTCGAGTAGGACAACCTGTACGAAAACCCTAATCTTTAGGGCTTGCACCCTATTTAAGCATCATATCTGGCCTCCACCCCAGCCTCTATCATCTCCAAACCCTAACCTCGAAACCCTAATTCACCTTGAGTGATTTTAAGCTATTTATTGCCATTTTGAGTGGTTTGTGTGTTCTTGAAGCTTAGAAGAAGAAGAAGGAGTTTGAAGGTTAAAGGAGAAGGTTATAGATCCAGGGATTTCGTTCCATTCTCATCACTTTCTGGTAATCAAGCTCTAAACTTGCCTTATAGTTCATTAGATCTCTTTGTGGTCTCTTTTATGGGGTTTTGTCCAAGTAGCATGATTTATGAGGCATGGATGTCCCAAGCTGATTATTCTTTCAGATCTGGAGTTCCGGACTACGGTCCGATGCCGGGGCGTTCCCGAGAAGAGTATGTGTATGCTTGATGTCTTTGTGATTCATGCATGTTATGTGTTATGAGTTCCGGGGCAAGCCCGATGTATGTTAGTGTATGTGTTATGTGTTATGTGTTCCGGGGTAAGCCTGATGTATGTTAGTTTATATGTTATATGTTATGTGTTCCGGGCTTCGGTCCGATGTCGGGGTAAGCCCGATGTATGTTATATGCTTATGTTATGTGTTTATGATATATGATATGTTGTGTATGTTCCGGGGTAAGCCCTATGCCGTGGTAAGCGCGATGTCGGGGTGAGCCCGATGCCAGACATGGTCTGATGTCGGGGTGAGCCCGATGTCGGGCAGGAGTCCGATGCCGGGTAAGCCGATGTCGGGTTCGTCCCGATGCAGCTGGGCGGTGTCCCAAAGTTTATGTTACATGTTATATGTTTATGTGTATGGTATGTGGTAGTTTGGGGGAGCTCACTCAGCTTCGTGCTTAAAGTTTTCAGTTTGGTTTCAGGTACTTCAGCTAGGAAAGGGAAGGGCTCGGGATGATCGCATGGCACACACCACAGTTTTCTAGCCTGGGAGATTTACTCTGATA